CACAAACAATACAAGTTGTCTGCCTATGCATCTGTGTGTGTGTGCATATATATATCTTTGATAGGAATATTCCTGCAAGCTCCTGGTCATAAGTAGAAGTAAGCCATGAAGTAGCAGCAACCATGTTGCAAATGCTGGTATCCTATTATTCAGATTCACCAGGAGGAACATTTTGAGATAAAACACAGTATGAGGTAGAAAACTATGAAGAAGAAAAAAAAAAAAAAAAAAAAAAAAAAAAAAAAAAAAAAAAAAAAAGAAAAATAAAGCAGGGCTCGTGCCCTCCTGGAAATTTCTTGAAATTCTGCAAATTTCTGCAGAAACTTAAGCTTGGTTTATATATGATTCTGTCTTTATACCAGAAAGTTTTCTTGAGATTAGTTTACTACCTACAGAAGAAAGAAAAATCGTGTGCCAGACAGCATGCAGTTGCCGGCACTCTGGCTTTCCAGAGAGTCGTCTTGAAACAATAGTAACAGCAAAGGTACAGCATGAACTGGACCACTTTGTGTTTCATTAATCTCAAATGAGAAGTTTGGTTTTTTCAAAGCCTGTTTTGGAACCATTTAAATTATAACATTACAAAGCTAGGCAGCCTTTACACAAACACAGGGGGTCAAGGCCTTTTAAAAAGCAAAACCCTTGTAATGAACTACTTCTTTTACACCACCATTTCCCACCTGTAATGGGCTTTCCGCCTTCCAAGTGAGGAGCTTCCTCAAACGCTGCACAGGTGATGAGGATCCTCCGGTAAGCTGCCACCTATGGTCGCGTTTGTATTCCCTAAGCACCTCTTTTGGAAATTAACAGGCATATACCACGCTTCTGGCATGGACCTGCCAAATGGTCTCTTCTCGAAGGGACATTAGGCATTGCAATACCCAAGATTTCACCTTCTAAGGAGATCTACTACTTTTTGTCCTGTAAGAAATTAAGAAATCTATACCCTTGACTCCCTGAACAAAGCAAGAGGGGCAATTACCTAGTAATTTTCCACATTCTCAGAGAAGGTCCTAAACAATGAAAGTTCAAAATCCCAACCAGGAACACTTTATGCCTTATTAAGAAAGGAAAAGACTAACAACAATTCTGTAAAAAAGCAGCAGTAGCCAAGAACTTGTTGCTGGATATATCCAGTTTTTATCGCATGACCAAACTTACATAAACTAATAAGTGATTTGTCTTTTTCGCATGCCAAATCCCATCCCAGGTATGCTCAGGGTGTTCCTCTCTCCACATCCACAGGTTGAATTAGCTCCTTGGATAGCTTGCTTAGATGAGAAGAGTATGTAGGGAGGAGTTATGTGCTAAAACTCAACTTGAGATAGAAAGGATACAGAAACAGCCTATTGTTCACTTTAGATGAAATGACTGAAAAAGAAAGCGAACTTGAACTGCTAATAATACTTGTCCAAAGCTGTAATGTTCATGTATTCAGAAGCTATACATGTTAACATAATACGTTTGTATCAGAAACACAAAGCCAGCATTCATATCATAAATCAGACAGTCATGCCCTCAGCCAAATTATTGTGTAATGATGCAGCCTTGGTCACCACACCTCCCTTATGCCCACTAATTAAAATCAACTTGCCAGGTAACATTTTTTTCCTCCCAAATGACTAATTTCCTCTCAAAAAAAAAAAAATCATAGCTTGAACAATATGCATAATCAGAAATTTTTAATTGTGCATCAAGAATAGGTTTCAATTCTTAAAAGTTAAAAGCAGCAGGGAGGCAATGAAGCTTATAGAAGACAGAATTTTTTAGGATATATATAAAAAACTGTTAATAATGACTTTTAAAATACTGAGATACTTGGCAATAAAGTCGCTGTTGAAATTAAAAGTTGATACAGAGAAAATAATGTAAATAGGAAAAAAAACCATAGCCTGCCTATGCACAGAGATGTGGTTTTTTACAAAGCATTGCCATTTTTGCAGTAAGATACTGAAGACTTTTTTGTTATTTCTTTGAAAATAATGGCTCAGAACCTGATCATGGTCAAAAAAACCCAATGGAACATCAGGGATCATTGCAAAAGGCATTGAGTACAAAATGGTAGATAAATACCTGTGTGCACAGTTTGTGCACCATTGCCTTTAAAATATCTCCAAGATGGTTGCACTGGTCACATTGCCAGAAAAACATCAAGTGTTTGTTTCTCAGTGTCTGGTAGCATCTGTATCCAGGCACCAGCACCTAGCCTTCCACTTGGTAGGTTTAAGGATCAAAATTCAACTCATGGGCACCCTTTACTGAGTTCAAACTTCATTGACAAAGAAACGTGGTTGATTGTACTGTGAAAGCCATCTGCTCAGCTCTCAGGCACTCAGAAAATGAACTTACCACCCATGTTTATTAATTTGATATTGGACTTAATCAACTCATATTCATATGCTACTGCTTTATAAAAAAACTTTACACCTACTGTTACTTCTATTGGTATTATTCCCATTTGTGGCTTGTGCTACCCACAGTGCTTATATAAGTCTTGGTGCTTGAAACATCAGACCAGGATCAGCCCAAACTTTCAAGCACAGTGAATATCATCTGAGTACCTACTGTAACCCACAGAAAGTAGCCTCTGTTCAAATGAGTGTCATAGCAGTGGCAGTTCAGGGCTCAGTCTTGAAATGTCTGATATCACCTACTTAAACAATAAACATCAATAAGCCCACTCATTTTTAAGTTAAGTGCATGCTTAAATGCTTTGCTGAATCAAGGTCAGCATGCTCAAAACTTGGAAGGATCAAGTCTGAAATTTGGCTTTACATTTGAAGGAATAGCTCCAAGAGTATTTTTCTAATCTCCCAATCTAATCCTAGGAATGTCTGTTGTACCAGACATGGCATATCATAAAGGTTTTATGACAATTACTTTGGCATGACCTGCACTCTCTGTTTCCTGATTTTGCTCTGGAGAAGTAATGTTCTCACCATAGGCTTATGCCAAGAAGCCTCTCTACCACGCCATCACCCAGCCAGCTCTCCAGTCAGCACTGTCTGAGTTGATAAACAGACTGAGTAGCAGGCTAATGACTCCAAAGATTTAATGAAGGTAGCCTGTTTCACTGCTACATTCTCAAACAGATGAACTGCAACAATTAAAAAGAAAGTTAATGTATCTACTAAAATGCTAAATTTAAAACTTGGAAGCCTTCCTATCTGCTTCCTTCCATTTCAAAACAGTGACTTAACTAGGTCTGACTCTTTGGCAGTGGTCCATCCAAATGGCACAGATTTGCCTACCTAACAAAGCCCTTTTGTTTGCTACAGCTGTGAAGCTTCAGTGCACTTAACTTTTCACATTTCCCAAGTTACCTTGGCACCAAATTGTGACTAAATGACTCCAAAAGATTTTTAACTCTAGCTTTGGAGGAATATAATATCCACAAGGAAGAATGATGGCTTTCAGTGAGTGCCCCATGGTAGCAAGAACAATGCTGAAAATCAGCTGTGCTTCAAACGTTCACGAAGCTTCTTGAAGACCTGTGGCTTAATAGAGAACTGCACTCTCTGCTCTGTTACAGGCTGCATCATGTTTGTCTTTTCTTCTGTTCCCCTTCCTCACGTTATACCTGTTCAGCTCTATCATCTGATGCAAAGGGAGGAAGGGGCTGTAACATATCTTTTCAAAAGAGTGAATTGTAAGGACCTCCTGCATTTGAAGAAAAAAAAAAATTCTAGAGCTGATTTCCTGATCTCTGGGAAGAAATGGATCTTTTGTCATTGATTCCGTGAGGGCAGGAAGCAATTCCAAGTACATACATGTATGGTGTTAATAACACACCTTAAAGTAAAATAGAATAAGTAAAACTTAACTAACATAACTTTGGGGAAAAATTCTTCCCATTTTTCTGTGGCTGCAGAAGGTCCCAGATGGATAAAATGGGAGTAAGTCTGTGTCATACAGATTAAATGGGTAGGAAACACTTGCAAGTGCTGGACCACTGGTCTATGGTAAAGTTCCAGAAACTCCCTCCATGCCTTATGCAGTAGGGAATAATAATCAGGAGGGTTTTTTTTATTTCCAACAGCTGTAATAAAAGGCCTTGAGAAGTTATTGCATGGCCACCTGCAGACAGACCTAAATGTGAGGCAGTTCCAATCTAGAAGGTAAACATGAATGCACTATACTCAACCAAAGACACCCCTAGTGTGACATATACCCTTATCAGCTGGGTTTTCTGTATGTTTTTTTTCCTGGGACATGCAGGGTCTTTTACTGAGACATTTAAGACATCCTAGGGCAACAGCTCACTGTCAGTGAACCCTGAATGGATACTACATTCATTGCAGCATCACCTCTGAGAGAAATAAAAATTGGATAAAGACCAGGAAGAGCACATGGATGACTGTGGTTATGTACTATTCAAAAAATAATTTGACAAGACAGGAGAAGGTATAGGATTTAGCAGACAGCAATATGATGGGCAAAATACTCACAAGTATCATTCTATCATGCGTAATGTATGAGTTATTCCCCTCTAGAGTGAATGCAAATGAAGTAACAAATCCTGATAACTTTTCCTTGTCCATGCTCTATGTAAACCTTAAAACACCACCATAACACTGCATTTTTTTAAAATTTCATTTTTTCTTTTCTTATTTGTGATTATTACCACAGCACCCAAGCCGTGTCATAGACCAGGTTCCTAATATATTGACCATCTACACTATGCAGAATAACGAACAGTCCCTGCCTGAAAGGACTAAGAGCAAAATTCAATAAATTTATCAAAAAGTCAGGCTCAAAAAAGCTACAAATCCTGTCTACAGTCAATGAGAGAAGCTGTGGCAGAAGCCACTGGAGAATTCCAGGATGAAATCTGGCATCACTGGAGTCAGTTGCAAAACTCTCAACCTTCAGTGAAACCAGGACTGAAAATGTATGTTTCTGCTTCATAGCCCTTTGCTCAGACAACTCAAACCTGGCATTTCATAAGTTTTCGTATTTCTACTCCTTGTTCTTTTGCACCAAACACATTTTTCCTGTAACTTCTGTTCATGAACTGATATTTTTATAATATAATCAGGATATAACTATGTCTAATTCTATTAATCTCTGTCCAAGTGTTCACTAGTTAAAGTATGAAATCTTTCACAAGGATATATCCAAAATTTACACTTCAAGATTTTTTCACAACACATCCTGCTTTGAAATGCTATTTCAATGCTTCTTGTACTTTATCCTGCATTTCTACTGGTGCATTTAATAAGACTTGGCTTTCAGATTTAAGTTTCTTCTTTAAAATAAGGAGAATTAGTGCACTTGGGATATAGGACACTCCACGTAGTATTGCTGGCACGCCAAGATAGAGCCACCTGAAATAAAGGATGAGCTTCATTAAGTATATAATTCGTGAAAAAATAGCAAAACTATGCAGCATACATTGTTTTGCAACAATTGCCCAGCTGCTCTAAAGCTTGTGCCTTGATCCTTTTGGATCTCACAGAAGAGGAATCAATATGAGAACGGAGAAGATGTCAGTGTCAGTGAAATGGCTATTTATATCACCCAACTTCAGGCAACTAATTTAGCCAGCAAAGTTAGCCACCTGGTACCCTTATGGCTTTCTCCACAGGGGAAAGAGAGAGCCCTAAAAAGGGCAGCTCAGACCACCTGAGTAAAACTTCTGGGTATTCATGAGCTAGCACTCTTCCAAATCAGCCTCAACACAGTATTAAAAGGAAGCAGCCTGAGGCCATTAGTTCAACAAGACTTCTCTTCAAAATTCCCACAGTGCTCTTTGAAGGACTACAAGAGCATGAAGCGTAGTATGCTGGGGCAATTTCCAACTTGGGTAACTATATCATCTCTATAAATTTCTCCTATATTTTAATTCAAGTACTATTTCAACCAGTCTCCGTTCAAAGATATTGCATAGTCAGCTGTTAAACATCTGACATTTTTCCCACAAGGGCTTACTAATTTTAATTTTTTTATCAGAAATCAGTTTTTTAAGGTCTGTTCTCATGAAAGGCCATTAGTGAATGTAATTATGGCACCAGAACATTTCTGTTCAAAGGGGCTTCCAACATCTGTGGCAAAGGTTGCACCTGACAAATAAAGCCAATGCCAAAGAAAAATGTTGTGTCAAATCTTTAACACAGGAGCAGTTTGTCTAGTAGGAAAAGATAAAGAGCATTCAATTATATTTCTATGCATGTAATAATACAGTAAGAAGGAGAAATGAAAATAAAGTACAAAATATACCTATATGTGACAATGTTGTACATCCTACACGCTCCTTCTCCGCCACAAGTCATAGTACCCCACTTCAAGCAAGTGGTATCTATCAAAGCTCCAAAATAAATGGGAGATGGAATTCCAGCTAAAAAGGATATTAGCAATGTTTTTGTGAATAGCGTATTTTTTTCTGATTAGCAGATAGACTATAGAACCTATGCTGTTTCTTAGTTACTCCATCCATCCTGTCCTCTTGCAGCATGAACCATGTTCTCTGTATTTCTTATGTTTGCTCTTCTTCCTTACCCACTTACCCTCAACCAAAGGTTTTCTTTCCTGTTGCCTGTTTGAGAATATATACCTGCTACAATATGGACTGTGATTCCTATTCAAAAGTCAACATCTTCTCTCATGACTGAGAGTGAGTGTTGTGTTCAATAAACATATAACAAGAGCAATGAAATGTAAAATGGCTTTCAGATGAACAGCAGATGTAGTCAGCCTATTACCCAGTATAAATAAATGCAAACAGAAAGCTGTTCTCATTTGTCATGCTGCCTAGATCTGTAAAAAATCACAAATTCTTCCTGATCAAAGGCACTCCGTAGAAGTACACTCCTCTGCCATGCCCATAGCCCTAATGTGATCCTTATCTCACTCTAGAACAGACCTAACTGTGCTTCTGAAGTGTGTTAGAGCTTTTCTTACCAAATACTCTTGAAGCTAGTCCATGGATACCCACTCCAAATGACTTTTCTTCAGGCTTTAGAGACCTGTATGATAATTACATTGTACACCAATTAGTAGAGGTGACATTAATAAGAAATGTTTACCTCTGTTTTTTTTAAATCAAACTCTTCATCGTATTAGGCCCAAACCATTCTAATTAGAGCACTAGTTGAAAGAGTTCGTTATCCTCATTAGGTGACATTTACTGAAGTTCCTTAACTAAGACTGCCAATCACAAAAGGAAAAGCTGTTGCCCAGGTATCACCCCTTTGGACTGAGGCCAGTGCAAAGTGCAAGATAGTTGTGCCTTAATCAATGTCATGTTGATGTGATCAATAAACACATGGGTATCACACAGCTCTCAATATGTCAGTGCACTGACTCAGCGGTCCTACGTTAATTCAGGATACAGCTGATAGCCAGAAGCAACAACAGGTTATAAAGTTGATATGACACTAAACCTTCACACAGCATAGAAATGACATAAGATCTCTCTATTCTTCCTCGCTCCATACACAAACTAACATACTTTTAATTCCTGGGGGTGTTTGACCTCAGAATAAAAAGTCCAGTAGGTTTCTTAAGATAAGTACATTTTACTGTACCTTATTAAGACCATATACCCAGGCATGGCTGCTAAGGAAAAAATGGAGCTGCAGACTAATGACAATATTAAAAAATAATGAAGCATCTTGTCACAGTTTTCTTCTCCATCACAGTGGCCCAGAATTGCAGAGACATTTTGAGATGAAAACCCTGAGGCTGCAACACAGGTGCAGTTTTCAAATACCTGTCAAAAGAATATTTTAATCACGCAAACTTGTCAAAACTCACACAGCGAGTGTGAAACTTGCACAGTTGGCACCTAGCTCACTCTCTCCTGAACACGTGTATGTTACACATGTGCAGCACTGCACTACTGCACTGCAGCCTCTCTCCCAGTCTGCCAGGCACAGGTCCAACCATCATTTGTATGTGGCATATGGGGTTAGAGAACGGGAGGGAGCTATGGTCCTCTTATGCAGCTGGGACTATGCTTCCTCAAGGAGGCCATGATCAAGAGAGCCCTCATATTTCTCAGCACAGCCTGGCTATGTGGTTCTTCCAGTGCCAATAGATCTGACCCTCTTTTTCATAACTTAGTATGTGGTCTTCCATATGCCAGAAGAGAAGAAACCAGAGATGTTTGATTGAGGCTGGGTTGCCATATTCTCAGTCAAAGACTTGCTTCTACTGAAATCACTGAGACTATTGCCAGAATAAGGGGTCTCAAATGTCAGCCAAGGGGAGCAAGGGCATCAGTGTCTGGCCCTTACTATCATCTAATACTTCTCTAAAATATTTGTGAAGTACAGAGGCTTTCTAAAATCTGGATGATTTGGGATTTTATTGAACTCATTATTTTTGTTTGTTTTAAGTCTAATTAGAACTTACTTTTTTTAATGGAAAATGTATTATTAATTAAGATAATAAAAGTTCTATAATACCTGGTTACTTGTTTAAATCTACAAGGTAAAAGAGATTATTAAGTCCATGCTACAGAATTTCATTTTGGCTGAAATGTTCTTGTGCACTCAGGTTTCCAACTGGCAATACCTTGAGAATAATTTCTCACTCCATTTTGAGCATTTAAGATTCCTTCAATTATTAGAAGAAAAGGAGGCTTCTTCATTAACTCAGGATATTCTATGATTCTATTGGCAGGAAGATATGCCAGGGGAGGTTTAGGTTGGATATTAGGGAAAGGTTCTTCACCCAGAGGGTTGTGGAGCACTGGAACAGGCTCCCCAGGGAGGCAGTCATGGCGCCAAGCCTGGCAATATTCAAGAAGCATTTAGCCAATGCCCTCAGACATATGGTGTAAATTTTGGGGTTGTCCTATGCAGGGACAGGAGTTGGACTCGATGATCCTTGTGGGTCCCTTCCAACTCAGGACATTCTATGATTATATTCTTTAATTTAAACTTAAACTAGTTTCATATTTAGTTTGGAATTTCTGTTGCCACTCAATCAATTTGTCGAACTATTTATCACCTTATATATCCAATTAAATATACATGTGTGGATATTTCCCACCCTATATTGATATGGATATTTCTCACCTACTATATTTCATAGTTACAGCACAATAAAATGTATGCTTTACCACACTTTTTCCAGTTCCTCTTGAGGCTTTACACCCAGCAAGACAAGGTGTCACATATGTGATTCCATTGTTCCCACAAACAGGGTCCCATATTTTAAGTGGGCAATCACAATCCCTGTTGCAGCCAGCAAGTAGAGTATTTTCTGCATATGAAACTTGCTCTATTCTGAAATACATTTAGAAGATGAATAAATATTTCAGTAATGAAATACCTACAGTAACCCCTGTGATGTTCCAGATTCTGTTCTAGCTGAAGTGTTGATCCAGGACACAATCCTACGTGCTCCTATCCTGGAGTCATGCCTTTCTATCTTTCTATAGGATGTTATGTTATATTAATATTATAAATTCATAGATAGGTATGCATACCCCACAGCATTTTTCTCATCTATGGCATGTATGTTCTTGATTGTCTGTAAGTGTTACATATACCTACATGTGCATTTTACAGACACACAACCCCTCCCAGTGGTTAATGGCAGGCTTCAAATCAAGAAACTGCAGATAAAATATCCTCTGATAACTCAATAGAAACCAAATTCCAGTAAACCAGTGTAAGATAAAGAAAGGGTTTTGTCCCTCTCTAATTCTGAAATTGCATTCATGTATGCCTAATTTGATCAACAACAACTTATTTTTTCCTGCAGTTACATGACTTGAATGTATAATTATATTACTGAAAGAATTAACATGGGCATGCAATTGCATGAGTCTTGATGTAGATATCTTTTTTAATACACTTTATTGTTTAAAACAGGGATAACAGAAGATAGACCTATTGTCTCATGCAAGTAAAAAGCCTTGAGAATTTAGATCATGAAACTAAAATGTTGCAAAACTATGGAGTCCCTGGCTGATTCTTGACAAGAAAAATCATTCCAGTGTCTTAAGATTTAAGTCCTCTTGTGTCTTAAAGAACATACCCTTCATAGGAAACTGTTAGGCCAGCAACTGGTGAAGTATCACAGACAGTCCAATAGGCAGCAAAGTAGAGAAGGTATTCCAGTAAAGATACCCAAAATGCTATGTTCGCAGCCTGATAGATATTTATCTTGAATTTCTTCATGAATAAGCCTCCAAAAAAATACCCAATGCATATAACTGGTAAGTTGTAAACACCTATTTAAACAAATGAAACTTCCATGTTAAAATAAAGGAGGAGACCATCAAAGCTACCCATAAGGGAAGGCTGTGTTTGGCAAAGACTCATTTAGTGCCTGTGACTGAATAATTTAACTACAGTTAGAAATGGGTCTCTACTAGTTCCCTTGCACAGCCAAAACATCTGCCAAAGTCAACAGCAGTTGGCAACTGCATGAAGAGCGAGCTAGAGGGTAAGACTGAAATGATTAATTGGAAAATTGCAATCTAGGGTTCCAATCTAGTTCCAACACACACACACACAGACACAAAAAAAAAAAAGGCAGGGTTTACATTACAGGCTCTCTAGCTGAGAGAGAAACTCAACAGAAAGATAAGCTAGTGGAGGACATTTGGTGCACATTGAGCATGACAAAAAAGAGGAACAGACTTGCAGTTTTGATATGAGATTACTGAATGTGCTCTCACGCTTCTTTGCTGTTTGATACTTTAATGAAGCAAAGACTGACTGAAAGACATTTAGGAAGTATCTGTCTGAACAACAGCCCAGCAGTGCAATGTCAAGGCAACACAGATAAGATGTAGGATAGTTACACGCCTTTGGATGCACAGCTTCAAAACACTGGTAACAGAGAGCAACAGTAATACATATAAGGTCTGGGACATTCCGTGTGGCAGGTTTTAAAGAAAATGGTGCAGCTACTGTGAAATATGAGCACTGAGTTAAGGAACAGAAGTAGATGTACTTTAAGATGTTTCTTCTATAATGATTAGATAAATTTTAGTCTAATTAAGTCACTGCAGTTAAACAAGGGAACTGAGAATTTAAGACATGATAAAGTGGAACCATAGAAAGGCTCCTACAGTTTCAGGACATTTGCTTTGTGCTACAACTACTTGCCATTACCATTTCTCAATGCATGACACCTTCTTGTCCTCACTCATAAAAAAAGACAAGCTGATAAAGAAGAGACAAAAAAAGACAGCTATTCGGTCAGTGCTTTCCTTCCACAGAGTTATGCATATGGAAGTGGATCTGAGGCTTTCAGAAGGCCCAAGACCAATACTTGAGGAGCGGAGATGATGGGAAGTGTTGAAGATCACTGGCAATTTTAGCTGTGCATAGGTTCAACCCATCTGTATCTTAAGAGTTCTAGCGATGTCATTTTCATGAACATGAAATCCACCCTCTGTTTTATAGTAAACTTTTTAATCAAGATAATATAATCAAGATAATTGGGCCCACACTCTCTTGATGCAAATTAGCATATCGTCTTTGAGATCAGTGGTGCAAGTTTTAAATCAGCTGAACTTTCTGGGCCAATTCAAAAGATGGGAAGTAGATTATTAAATTCTGCACAGAAAATCAGGAGATGCTTAGCAGAAAATGCATGATTATTTAGAAATGCTTTGTAGTGTGGAATCTCTCATTTGTAGGAGCATTTGACCTCAGTATGTATATGTATACATGTACACATGAATATATATATATAGAGAGAGAGAATTTGCATAGAGACATCACTACTTGGTAGAACACAGTAAAGCAAAATGCAAACATACCAATTAAAAAGATGGCATCCGATGCAGATTTTCCAAACTGTTGTTCCAAATATTTGGGCATGAAGGATATCATGCCATTGAAGGCACTGAACTGTAACACAGTTATGCATATAAATAACATATAAACTGGGTTGTGAAACAGAGCCTTGAGGAATGGGATGAAATCTGGAATGAAATAATGCAACTAGTTAGTGTGATGCTTTATGAAATGAATCATGCATTTCTTAGTGTGGCTGAGGGAAACAGAAATGGCCCTTAACTGGATCAGGCTAATTCTTATGCTTCGCCAGACACCACAGGCCATAGATTACTTGCTTAGCCCAGGCTACCCCAAACATGTCTCTTCTACACAAAGATAACCACACACACACACACGCACACTAATGCATGCTGCTGCTTATAAAAAAAAAAAAAAATCACAGTAATAATCTTATAATAAAAGTTTCCTGAAACTTTTTAGCTGTATAGTGACTGAAATTTTCACCTACAGATTTGCAGCAGCAGCTACTCCCCATCATTCTTACTCCTTTTTTCTTTCATCCCATGCCCTCAAAGCATTCACCAGAACATCTTTCCTGCACCTGGCATGCAAAGGGAGTACAAGGGAGAAGGGGAAAAAAACACACTAGATAGCCGTGACAACCTGCCCCCAGAGACCTGACTTTGCTTATTGCTACTGTCAGTGATGGGGCAGAAGAGGCCTGAAGAGGGAGGTGACCACAGTTATTCCCACCATACTCTCAAAGTCTGGATCCTCCAGTCTTCAGCCAAGTAAGCATCTGAGAAACTAATTTACACAGGTCTTTTCTCTGCATAATGCCTATTAAGTCAGGATCGGAAGCATAAAAAACCCCCACAATTCCTCTTTGTCTAATGTTCTCTATTAATTAATGTGCTGAGCTATTGTCAAGAAACTCTGCAGAAAAACATAAGCATCTGTAAAACAATGACCATGCTTCATTGAAAGTGGGCACCACTTAGAAAAGATATGTATCTTTCAGAGGTAGGCAAGTATCTTACTAGAAGAGGATCTGTCTGCAAGTCTTGCAAAAATGTGTCAAATACCTGAAACACTATAAATAGGCTGTATGAATTATATATGCCATGCAGTTTATAATCAGACCTTTCTGAGGAAGAGATTAATTTTAACTATAAATACTTCAATTTTCAACTTGAAACCCTTGGGGATATCCAAAAGCCATCTGGACATGGCCCTGGTTAACCGGCTTTAAGGGGCCCTGCTTGAGCAGGGCATTGGACCAGGTGACCTCCAGAGGGCCCTTCCAACCTCAACCGTTCTGTGAAATGAAAAGATACTTAATTCAGGATATTCAGGGACAGTGGACATTCACACCAACACAAGGAGGGAATGATGATGAAGGGACTCTGGAGTACTAGGACCCACAGTCTGAACTAGGAACCTTTCCTCATCAGAGCAGTACTTTATTCCTGGATTCTTTTAAGGCTACATGACAGCAGAGAAAGATGCTGTGTTTATCAAAACGAAATTGTAATATCAGCCAAGATCTGAGTACTCACTCTGAGTGTGGTGCATTTGCAGGACTCAGCTTGAAACACCATGGAGAGGTAGGTGGCACTTGGCACTTACTTTCTGAAAATGAAGATCCTGTCAAGGGGCCCTGAGCTGGGTATACAGAATCATGAGACTACTCTGAAGATCATAGCCTTTGACGTATTTTATTCACTTATGTTTCCAATTAGCACAAAAAATGGAAGAAAAAAATAGCTTCCTACAGATATATAGATCGGAAAGACAACAGATGGGAATGTTGCCAACGGTAACATGAACAAATGTAAGTCAAATAGATCCTTGTTCAACAGCCATTAAATGTTTATGAGACACTTAAGCACCTGTCAATTCCCTTTTATGGCTTTAAGTTGGACTCAAGAAATGCACAAGACTTGTGTTGGTTTTCTGCTTTTCTGCACAGTGAATGTGGGGTACAAGCAACTAATATCTGCAACTTGTCCACAGCTCACTGAGGTGTAATATTCTTAAACAGATTTCAGTACATTAATCCTCTGCCAGGAAGAAAAGCTCCAGTTCTACATACACCTGAAATGCAGGAGGGGGAAAGGAGTGAATTCAGATCCTGGATCTAAGAAATTAGCTTCTTCCTCTGCAAGGAGCCATTCTAAATCCCTGCACAAATCCTTTGTACTACAGAAAGATGAAAAACAGAGTATGCATTTCATACCTTGGACCCATCTTTACTTACAAAAACACACAGACATAGTTCACACCTTAAGGACTAAATTACAAAGGAAATACAATACAATATAACTTACCTTTAGCAATTTCATACATGGTCTCTCTGGCTTCATTTTTATTATTTTCTTGCAATAGTGCTACATTTTTTTTACTCATTTCCTCAGGTTTGTTGGTTTCTCCTTCCTTCACAAGTGACTTGGGCAAAAACCAAAAAGGTATTCCTGCCAGAAGATTCAGTGATGCACAAATCAAAATGCCCAGCCACCATGCTCCAACCCAGCGGGCATCAGTAGCTGTTATAATTATGTCCTCTAAAAAAAGACAAAAAAAAACCCAAAACCAAAACTACACATCTTACATTAGTTCAGAAACATTCTTTGCTGTCATTGTGTGTTTTTCTAGTCATCTCTGACACCTGATATATTAAAAGCATTTTAAAGATTCTTAAAATGAGGCTGATGAAAGAGAATAGTCTCCAGTTTTCTAATGTTGCTCATTTTCTGGCAAATTTCAGTGTTTTGTATTAAATCAATTCTACCCCTTTCCTATGTTAAGGCAGAGGACACAACTGTTCATCAAATAATTTATATGCAGATTCATTTGTGTATGTGTGAATTCAGACCTTTTATTGAATTTAATGTTATACACAGATTTTTCATTCTAAAAGAAACATCAGCAAACTCAGATAAAATGAAGATACCTCATATTAGCAAAGAAACATATTTTAGTGTTGATAAATACACCACCATGCCTACTGATTTATATGTAATATTTTATATATTCATCCTTTACCTGCATCTACTGATCCCAGATCAACAAACAGTTCTGCACAGAATGATGCCAACAAAAAACCAAGGAAGGGGCCGATTACAGTTGCTGTATGTAGACATCCTAAAGTATGAAAAGGAGAAAATATAGTAAATTAGAACCTAGATATAATTATTTTCTTGGAATTGTCATATATGTTTAGAACAGCTCTACTGAATAGACATTTGCACCTAAAAATGGCCTCATTTCAACATGTTCATCTCTAGTTAAATTACAAGTTCTACAGTATTATTATTTTGATAAGACAGTAATGTCTGTCTTCTCTCTTCCTTTATTGGACTGAAGGGAGTCATAATAACCTTCTCGTTTGCTTTTGTTTATGTTTGTTTGGGGGAGGGGAGTTATCACAATAGGGTAGATTTACCGAGGTAGAAGGGTGAATTCTCTGCTTTGGCAAAATCCTCCAAATATGAAATGCCTAAAGGCATGATGGGAGTTTCACCCATTCCTCGTACTATGTTTCCAACCATCACAAATATCCACAGCAAGGACCCAGGCTCTTTTTCACATTCTGTGAATAAAATAAGAAGCCAGAATTAATGTTTTAATTCGAATTATTAATTAAATTCTAGAGATAAAGGCAAAGAATTAACTAAAAGCTTCAACTTTGATGGGTAGGTCTGTCCTGTAAAACAGGGAAATAAGTAGTTGTGATACTCGAAAAGCTCCAGAACAGGAAGAAGCTGTTGCACTTGCTGGAATAGAGTTTAAATCCCATCCCTCTCCATGCCATACCTTGTCCAACCACCTGGCAGTCCAACCACTTCATAAACTAGGCCCTTCCCTTTACTCATTTCCCTCAGCAAAACTCCCATTTTCATGTCAGTGGAGAGAAGACAGTGCCTGAACATCAGTGATGAAGGGATGAAAAATCATGCCTGACTAACCTGATCACCTTCTACAACAAAGTAATGCTTTCTGTTGACATGGGGAGGGCAGTGGTTGTTGTCTACTTGGACTTCAGCAAAGCATTTGCCACTGTTTTCCAAACAAACTGGCAAGATACAGACTGGAGGGACAGTCTGCGAGATGGGTGGGACATTGACTTGTAGGCCACACTCAGAGGGTGGTGATCAATGGCTTTTACTCAGGCTGGCAACCTGCCACAAGTGGGGTCCCCCAGGGACTGATACTGGTCCCCATGCTATTCACTATCTTCATAAATGGTCTGGGTGATGGGATTGAAAGCACTCTCACCAGGTTTTCTGATGACACCAGACTGTGTGGTGAGGTAGACACATCAGGAGGGAGAGCTATCTTACAGAGAGATCTGGACAGTCTGAAAGAGTGGGCTTGCAAGAACAGTATGACCATCTCTCTGAAATTCAGGAGTCTTTTGCAATGATTCAGGTAATTGTTGCATAAAGCTCATACATTGTCATTTGATTATAAGAACATTGTCTGAAATAAACCAGAAGACTTCTTGATTTCACAGTGAGATGACACCATTTTCTTCCAAGAAAGCCATGCCAGTGCAGAAGATGTGGTGTTGTTCTACCTTTGCATGGAATGAGATTTCTGAGTTTTTCAGATTCTTTGCCTTGATTCAGACTGCTAGCTTCTGGTTTACTAATGTCCATAAGCCCCCAGAAAACCACATGGAGAGTAAATGCGTATGTGTCTAAATTATTGGCTGTTTGCTGGTAACTTCAACCGGCACTCTGTACAACAGTCCTCACCAGCTGGAAACCCCAGCTTAGACCCTTACCTCAAAGCTCTGTTCTAGCACTACAGATTTTTGCCTTGCACGTCAATGTCCTCCCTATCCAGAAATTTAATCTGTCCTGTTCCTATATGTTCGGGTATTCAATTTCAGATTTGGGATATCTTGAGGGCAATGCAAATTCTGATTTGGCAAATAATATACAAATTCTACCATAACTGGCACATGTCACCAAACGTTACAGAAAGGTTTTCTACCTCCATCATACCTCTGCAACCTAGAAGGTCAGTATTTCCCTGAGCAGGCCTGCGATCTGTCAGTCTGGGCACTGCTCTGAGGAAGTTTCACTTCTGAGTCACTCACCGTGACCTTTATGCAAGTCTCAATCAAAATCAAGATCCATAACAATATATCTGGCCAGTCTGCTGAATCTCTCTGGGGTTCTAGCTCTCATTTATTCACATCCATCCTCCTACATAACTCAACAGAAGAATACTGTGCTGCAGCACAGTATCCTGTTTGTCCCACATCAGGACAGTTATATCAGGAACTATTATGACCTTTAGTACTTTCTTTCTCTCACTGACCTTGGATTTCTTCATCTGCTTCAGATTCCACTGTTCTCTATGGCCCACTTTGTCATGCTGAGACTTCTCAGTGTCAATTTGTTAACAAATAAAAACCAGCTTTGTTAGCAGCAACTGATGACTTTCTAAATGAAGGCATTACCATTCAGAGATCAAGCCTGGATCTCCTGTATCAATGTCAGATTGCTGTCAGCAAACATGGGTGAAGCAATCCACACACAGATGTGGTCAAATTCAAACCAGTTTTTGCATCACAGAGGAGGTAGACTCATATGTATGAGCATCGCAGTTTTGCTTGTCCATAAACTAATAGAGAAACAATCACCTTACCCAAGTATAGTCATAGGCTTGAGGACTTATGGGTTCTAGTGTGTACATTGAATGGCTGTATAATTTAGATGAAAATGCTTTACCTAGCTATACCTTAATTTGTGCATTTATAAAATGAAGAAAAACAGTATCTGAAATCTTCAAATGAAAGATTAATACCAAGTGCTATTAAGTATAGACTTTTCTCAACTTTTCACTGTAAAGATGGAAAAACTAATGCCTTAAGTGACATGCAGTCTTGGAAAGCTTGGAAGCCACATCTGTTACTAAATGGAGACACAGAAAACTACAGTACAACACTATGATTTGATGTCACTGTGTGCATACAATATTACAGCAGTGTGATTCAGCTTTAGCATATATTGGTGGAACATCATCACAAAATATAACAATGAACTGTGGAATTCATCCACCTAACTTTTGCCATTCACCAATCATCTAAGTTTCCAATTGTCAGTAGGCACATGCAGGAGATTATCTGATCCACCCTAAAGTAAACTATGAATGTCCTTACAGCAAGGGACACACTCTGCAAGAGCTCTGTAGTCTCCTTTGACCAGCTATCAAGGGAGCCTTAAGAGATCATTCAGACTAAATGCTTCCCTTTGAGGTAGCTAACTACTCAGGAGATTAATCCCATCCTCACTGTGAGGATTTTGTGTGTGATTATTTAATAGTTGCCTCTGAGCCTTTTGACTTCATAGTAGTTACTTTATATGCGTACTGCTAGTGCATATACATGTTCCAGTCTCCCAGATAAGTTTCAGCCTAGTTTAAACTATTTTCTCTTTTCTCTAAAAGGAAGTGGCAACTACTTTTTTGCTCTATCTCTATTTCTCATTCTTTTATTTCTTGTGTGGTACAAAAAAGCATCCTGATGCCTTTTACCCATTGTCCACATACGTTTCCCACCTCCTCACAGTATCATAGCATTTCAAGTCAAAAAGAGGAACATTTGTGAGAACAACCTGGTGTTATATTTCCCCAAAGTCGACTGACAGGGATGTTAACTGAGCTGCTCGGATACTGTGAAAACTGCATGAAAAAAAGCTACAGATCTGGAGTCACAGACTAAAGAAACAAGAAGGCTAGGGAATTTCCTGACGTCTAGTTTTTATGCCTGATCAAAAGCAGGACCCTGAAATAATTGCTAATAAAAATAAAATCCTATTTACTTAAACACTATAAAAACTGAAGAAAAAATATTAGTAGACATAGGAAGAGTTATACCTGTTGATGGTTCCTCTGTAGGTAAAGAGAACAAGCTTTGATTAACAAGGCACAGAGGCATGACTGAAAAATTCTCCCGTGGTGAAATACTGCTTTCAATATGATACCTGTTTGAATCAAAGGAAAGCACGTATAGGTTAAGAAGAAATGCATCAGAACCACCTCTTACGTCTGTACTTCAGCAATGAAGCTACCTATAAGAAGAGCGTAGCTATAGGAAGAAAGAAACCCACATCAAAACTTAACTGAGCCTCAGTAACAAATCAGGGTAGGAACAAAGGACCTGTAGCAGGGAATCAACCCAGTGTTTTACCCAGACTGTTATCTATCCTCTAACATAATCTTGTAACAGATGCTTCAGGAGAAGTTGATGAACAACCCTAATGAAATCCTTCATATCATCTTCTCTCCTACTCTTCTTACATTCTAATCCAATTTACACTGAAGCAGAGGGCGCCACCAAGGCTGCCAGAGCCATACCACATTGGACATAACAGGATTAGAAGATCATCTTTGCTCAAAAGCTGTCTCACTGATTAAAATATAGGCAAGCCTAAATGATTATTTTGTTAAGCCAAGCAAAAATAGTGAAAAAGTGGTTAAAGAATCATTATGGTCTGTAAAGGTCTTTTCAACACAGTGATCAGGTATGATCTGTCATCCAGGCTCCAGATCAAAGACATCTTTAAAAATAATCTTGTATTGCCCATCCAAGCAGATAAGAGTTAGTAGTGTAATGTGACAGTGTCACAGGCCACTGTTCTTCAGAGAGTCCACACAAGAGGTAGCACAAGGACGAAGGCGAGGCAAGGCAAGGGGAAGGGAAGGTGCCCAGCAGAGGGGTGACTCTCCTCAGGAAGGGATGACTGACTTTTGAAGCCATCTCACAAGCAAAACAAAAGAAGCTGCTCTACAATTATCATATCATACCCATGCTCAGCAATGTCTCTCTCAATAAGCAATGCCATTTCAGTGGGAGAAGTTATGGATTAAGGCAAGTAAGGATCACAGAAGCTGCTGTAAGCTAAGCAAAATACTCACCTTCCAAATAGGAAATGAGGAAGTGATATCAAAAGACATCCAAATGACAGAACTGTGCAGCCCAAAGCAATTATTCTGGGTCTGTGAAGCTTTGCTCCGAAGTAACTCACAAATGCTATCAGCAGTAAGTTACCTGCAAAAAGAACCTGGTCCTTATTTACAAACCAAGGCATCCTTATATCTTTTGAAGTGCAATAGAAATTTGAGTATAGCTTGTTAGCTCAACGTCTGTTACTTGCTGTCTTGTAAAAACTGTAACTAGACAGGGAACTGCCTAAATGATGCAGTAATTCCCTTCTATCTGTGATCTTTTTCTGGGAGAGTTACACCACGTGGAAAGAACATGAGAACAGAAGGCAGAATGGAAAAGAGATCATGGTGAAAGAGATTATTGACTGCAGCTATGTAAAGAAGAAATTTCCCACTGCTTTACATAGAGACCAGGCCCAGGGGCTGCAGAATAATAGCTGTTTTAGGAAGTTATTCTCCTAGGATACTCTACTTTGCAATGTGTGGGAAAATACAAAAGTATATATCCAAGTGTTTTTGTATTGAAAATAATAAACACAAGATGACATACAGAGAAAAAAGGAATAACAAATTAATATTAATTTCAGTAATAGTTTAAGAGGAATTAAAAAATACAGATTTTTTGTACCTAGTACCATTTAAAAATACAAATGGGCTAAAAATCTTCATTCTCTTCTCCTCCACTTTCACTTCAGAATCAGTTGATGTTCTATACTCTTCATTTATTGCTATGCAACTAAGAAAAGAATCAAGCTTCATGTTATGAATCAGGTCCTATAAAAATAACAATTTAGTAATCGTACGCCTACTGATTTTGTGATCTTTTTGTCAAAAGAACAAAACCATGTCTCTGGGTGATGAAGTTTAGGTTGGATATTAGAAAAAACTTCTTCACCGAAAGGGCAGTCAGGCATTGGAACAGGCTGCCCAGGGAAGTGGTTGAGTCTCCATCCCTGGAGGTATTTAGAAGACGTGTAGACGTGATGCTTAGGGACATGGTTTAGTGGTGGACTTGGCAGTGCTAGGTTAATGGTTGGACTCGATGACCTTAAGGGTCTTTTCCAACCTTAACAATTCTATGATTCTATGAGCATCATGCTCTGAAAGAAGACAACATCTTTTTTATCTATGGTTGCTAGACAGACTGTACTGAACCAGTGGCTGGAATGACACTTAAAGACATCCACTTACATGGTCCTAATAAGTTCCTTATGTCTGCTGCACACACTGACTCTTAATCATTTCAAATATTAATGATTATTCACAGTTATTTTACATCCTTGGAGGTAAGAATGCCACAACTTGTTATAGAAAAGTGCATATAATAGGGTAATTTATTTAAAATAATAAGCCTTTTACATATTACTTCATTAATTTTGGCCATTTCATATTTCTTAAAGTCTCCTCCTTATCAAAAGCAAGAATATATTCTGGGTATTCCTTCTCTATCTTAACTTGGAGCTGCCCCATTAGACTGCTTTGCAGGCAGCAGTGTGGTGTTGCCAAACAGTTTCTTCTTCTTGCACGTGCAGACATAGGAGGCCAGGAAAAGGAGGGGAAAGAGCCTTGTCTTCCCTCCCCACCAGTGTATGTGAGCCTGTACAGACCATTGCCTCAGCTGAGCCAGGGATAATATTCACATTGTGACTTTAAGGGCATAAAACTCATCCTCTTAGGATCTCTATTTAGATGGGTTTGAAGATATCAAGCCTTTTGTTTGGCTTTTGTGGCAATGACAAGACATAAGCCTGTCACTTGACAATAAAACTCACTGATAGGCAAGGTAAGGGTCACTAACAGTAGAATTGGAAACTTTCTTTACAGTTGTACAGGTACAAAATCTTGAAATACTATTGAATTTCAGTAAGGAGACAATCCACTCCAACCAACTTTGAGGTCACAGATTAAAAGAACTGTAAGACACTAAATATGACCTTAAATACAAACAAAGTTCATAAAATCTTTCTGGTTTCTTAGTTGATTCAATACAAAGCTCATAAAGTAGTTCTATTTTGTTAGTTGCTCTGTCATATCTTAAGATAGTGCAGAAATGAGCTGAACCAGCTTTTAATCCTAAACTTCCTCATTTAAGTTGTCCTGTTAGTTTCCAAAACAGTAAATATGTAAGTACCAGCTGAAACAGTAGGATAGATTTGGTCACTATGGGCACATACAGCAAGCAATAAATTGCTGTGGACATAAGAGTCACTAATATATGCTCAGCCAACATATTATACTTTCAAGGAATAAGAAATATTAAAATGAGTGATTACCAATTTCAAAGCTTCCATTAATGATTCCCACTAAAGAAGCTGGAATATTAAATTGTTTCTCTATCTGTGTGTACATGCTGTTCATGTAAGCACCAGACATCGTTTTACCAACAAGTGCAAGTGATAATGCCAGCAGAAATACCTAGGAAGGAAAGAACAGAATGCATAAAGAATTCAAAGTTATATATTTAGGAATATTCCATGGTTATCTTCCCCACCAAAGATGTGCTTCCAGATAAAACAAGTGAACAGTCCTGATCCACTGATACCTGTGTAAATACAAGTTCAAATCCTATCATCTGTCCTTGTCCACAGAGTTATGGCTTCACTATATCAAAAAAGGAAGATTTTGTTCTTCATCTGCTCCCATCGACCAAGACTGGCTTCAGAAACCTTAAGCCCCATTTCCCCAGCCAAACCAGGCGCGGCATAGCCTCTCCCACCGTGTGTCTGCTGCAAGATTGCCATCTGCAGGACTGCATAACGTCTGCAGCCAGACCGGGGTGCAAAGACGTTCGCACTCTTTGCTCATCCAAATGATAAATTACTTGCAGAGCTAAGATCGTTTTCTTTGATCAAATTACTTGATCGAGTATCTGCTCTCCCACCTCAGTAGAGTTCATGAGCCCAGAATAAGTCGTTTCAAACAGAAGTAGTAAATAGTGTGTCCTTTTTACGAGAATCTAGTAGCAAATGACAGTAAAAAAATAAATGAGAATATATGCAGTATTATTCAAATCCTTTTAACTTTAGGGTTCTTAATAAACAGTATTTATGAAAAAAAATCAATAGCATTTTTAAAAACATCTGCTGAAAATGCTGAAAAGCATAAATAATGTATTTGGCCTTTGAAGTACTATTAAAATCAAGCTATTTTATAACCTTTTATAGAGATACTTGGCAACTTGAATAGTCTATTTTTGGTACATCAACAGCCAATTTTTACTGCCATGTCACAATTGGTAAGGCTCATTTCACAGGTTTAAGAAGGAATGGTAAACATGTCAGACTGGGGGGATTACACAAATTCAGAGGTGGAGCTTCAAAGGAGCAATCAACCACACCTCCAACACATCAGAGAGTGTAAAGTTCAGGGACATAAAAAGCAACACATGATTGCTTACAAACTTGCTTGACCTTGGTTAAGGCATTAAGGATAAGGAAAGAAACAGAACTTATTCATTCATTTAGTCTAGATTGTAACTTCTATCAAACCACTATAAGTGCAAGCAATTACAGTTGTGTGTTCATAAAAAAATTGCTAAAATATTTCTGTACCTTCAGCTTGGAAATGCAGCAGGATTTGCCCCCTGCATGTGGCTTCTCATCTTCTTTCATGTTGCCTTTTTTAATTGATCCCAATGTCTGTTTCTGAGTCTGTCCAATGAGCCTATTACAGCGTTGAAAAAGACAAAAGAAAAAAAGAAATATTTTTCTCCCACGTTTGCAAAAAAATCAGGTTCTTTCTAATATAATTGGTATTTGAGCATCTTCCTTAAATAAATGCAAACTGGATTCCAACAAAACTGGATGCCAACAAAAGGTACAAGCCTATAAACTTTATTCTAATCAAGAAAATTTGACACGTGAATGTCAACAATGTAATGGCTAGCTATTTCTCATCGAATACTGAATGCTGTCAGCAGCATAGAACCAGCAAGCAAAGAACAGAGAAAAGAGACATTCTGAGGGCAAGCTAGTTAGTCTGTAATACAGCTTTTCAGTCTTCTTCACAAGCATTTGGTACTGACCACTGTGGGAGACAAGACTATGAAGACCTATACATTTGACTGATGTATACCAGTCTCTGTGGCCCTTATTTACCATGCTTGTCCTTCCTAGTTTAGTTCTGCTCCGCATGTTCTATTGAGCCCTCCCCTCTTCTACTGGCATCAATGTAAATTCGTTAGTTTTAATAGAAATAAAACCAAAACCACCAGATTAACTCAAGTTCTAAATGGCAAGAAACCAGACTCTGTTCTGCTTCCTCTCCCAAGATTTGCAAAAACATCCCTCTGTATTTGTCTACTTACTTTTAGTCATCTCCATCTCGACTTGATGGTTAGAGCTTCTGGTAGTGCTAAGCCACTTTCTTTCTTACACATCTTACATATTTCCCAAAAACATGTTCAAAGAAGGAGCAATATATTCTGGGGACTTGGAGTATACTCACTTGTAAAAGCTCCTACACATCTGAGAGTTAGTACCATGAGTTAAACAGGGAGAATGCCAGTTTAAAGAAGATTTCTCTCTAAGGATTGCCACAAAGGCTTCATTAAATCAAGTTATTCATTACAGTTCCCTCTGCCTAATGGGGTAAGCTGAAGAAAACCAGGGCAAGTCAGAGCCCTACCTTACAGACGGGATGGATATAGGTTAATTTCCTCTTTCGTCTCAGATATACTTTCCAAGTGTGACCTTGTGGCACCTGCTCTTCTCTATGTTTTCCACTTCATGGAGCCATGGCTGGGAAGCAAGTTGTCCTTGACAAGCCCACCAATAGGACTGAATTGCCTTTCACATTCTTCAACCCACCACCCCCCCCAGTCAACCTCTTCAAACACTAATTTCTACAGCAATGTTAATCCTCTCAAATGTGTTTCTTAACTAACTTGATTCCTAGCAAATTCATGGGCATTAACTCCTTCTACAGCTACCTCCTCATTTTCAGTCTCTAAAAGCGTAATGCATTATTATAGCATTCCTGGAAATACTTACTTTACAATTAAGTGTAGGTGGTCAGTAACTCGGACAATTAACTATGATATATAGTTTGTATTTCTGCTTTGCTTAAAGATGTTTACACAAACTGTGTTCAATCACCAGTACTAAACCGTGCTCATACAGCTTTGCACTTTCTTTGCAATTTGGCACAGAAATTTATATCCCAGGGAATCATTTACATTTTATCTTAGTACTGCTTTATTCAGACTGTATGCCACCTGTGATGCCAAAAAGAGAGCGACAGAACAAAGATTGCAGTCCCCTATGCCTGTCCTCTTCTGCTCCTAGGAGGCAGCAATGGGATTACTATACCAGTCCCTGCATTTCACTAACATACACAGGGAAGGTCATCTGGCTAATTACAGGTTTTCTCTTCTGGTGCTAAAAGAAACCAGCCAGCAACCTCTGCCCAAGTTTCTCTTGGGGCATCAGAAACATCACACTGCCCCTCATACAATTACAGATGACAAAATGGCAACGTTTGCCTTTACTTAATTGTTATCTTCCCTCAAAGCATAAATTATGGTAGAAAAAATGCATTTCAATCCATTTTTTACTGGGAAGATTATTAAGATTATTAATTGAATAACAAAATAGAATTATTACTTCCAGCTGTGTTCCTGAGGTTTCTTTCCCCAGCTTTAAAATATTTTTGGTGTCACATTTGGTCAAATGGAACTGAAGCCAACACAGATTAACAGCCTAGATTATCAGAGAGATGTAGGTGCGTAACTCATTCAGCTCAGGTGTATTTACACCACACTTTAAATCCAGGTTAGAACTCAGACTACCATTTCTGTGCCTAAAGATGAACCAATAGTGTTCCCACTCTCTTCTCCCATCTCCCTGCTCTCCGCTGTGCATTCCTGTTGCTTTACTTTTCTTCCACTCTTGGGCTCTCCAGGCTCTTCTGCAAACCATTTTAAGTCATTAAAGGCAGAAATTTAATGCAGCAAAAAGATTGCTTCCCAGGTAGTGAACTGATTTGGCCTGCAGAATGGTTCAACAAATGTCAGACCCACACAAGCAAAAGAGCAGGAAAGTGGAGCCAAGAACGTGAGAACAGAGGAGAAGGTGGGGGTGAAAGCGGAGTAGGAAAGGATGGAGAGTGAAACACACCCATCTGAGCACCAGTGATGTGTTATGTCACCTCAAATATTTGTTGAACTATGGTCTCAAGCCCTAACCTAAGCTGCCCAGGCCAGCCCTGAACACAGCTGGCCTCCTAGGATCAGCA